ACTCCTACGCTATGCATTAAGTTAATGTGCTGCCTCAATTGTGGGCATGATGGCTAGGCTTGGTTCTGGCCTTTGCTTTTGAGAGAGTTTTGAATTACAGAAGCAGGAGTTGACACATGGTGTCAACTCCTCCCTTCCTACCCACTCCCCCACCCCATTTTTTTTTTTTTAAAAGGAAAACAAATCCTATTTTGTCCTTTTCTGAGAAGCTTGAGATATTAATTGTAAAAATGCATGTCTGGAGCCCTTAGGCTGAGATAGAAAGGAGTCGATTGGCTGTAAATTCAGTTGCTCTCCGGGTCAGAGAACTGATCTTGACCATTCATGCACTTCTTCTGGACTCTGAACTCGCAGGGTTGTAGCCTGGCGCGTAGGACTGGAGAGGAGCCCTAGCCAGTGAGGCAGAGGCAGAAAGGTTTATGAGCTGGTATGGTTATTTCAGTGCTGCTGTATCGCTTTCCAGATGTTTCTGACTCTAATGTGCAGCCCGAAATTTATCTTATGCATTTGTGTATGTTTATCTATATTTTTTACTGAGTATGTAACAAGGCACACACATATGTAATATATTACATTACATATAGTTTGAACAAAATGGGCACACAAAAATTTCTCAACATAGTCCCTACCAAGTGCAGTGTACTCTATTTTCTGTTTGAGTCTGCTCTAAACCATGAGTGAACTGATACATTAATGTCACTATCCACTTTTGGATTTCAGGCTCTAGTTTAAAAACACCAGTTTAAGGGACTGGTGAAGGCATTGGGTGTGCAGGGGAACCCGAGTGAGACCTACTGGAGGGTGGAGAAGGTGGATGAAGAAAGAGATTGATTTCAAAGGATAAACTAAACTGGTCTGGACAGAAGTGAAGTCAAGTCCCTGAGTCAGGGCTCAGGTTCCATTCAGGAACTGGGGCTGAAATGTTAAGCACAGAAGGGTGCCTCAGCAGATAAATTGTTTAGGTTCATGGTTGTATTTATCTTTTTTTTTTTTTTTTTTAAATTTTTTTTAATGTTTTATTTATTTCTAGGAGAGAGAGAGAGACAGCATGAGCAGGGGAGGGTCAGAGAGAGAGGGAGTCANTTTAATGTTTTATTTATTTCTAGGAGAGAGAGAGAGACAGCATGAGCAGGGGAGGGTCAGAGAGAGAGGGAGTCGCAGACTGAAGCAGGCTCCAGGCTCTGAGCTGGCAGTCAGCACAGACCCCGACGCGGGGCTCGAATCCACGAACCGCGAGATCATGACCTAAGCGAAAGTCGGCCGCTTAACCGACTAAGCCACCCAGGTGCCCCCATGGTTGTATTTATCTTGACAAGGAAGGAATTTTCCTTAGGTTATTGCAGTCATTATGCTTTTATTTTTTTAAATTTATTTTTCTAAATAATTTTTTTAATGTTTATTTATGAGACAGAGACAGAGCAGGGGATGGGAGGGGAGAGTGAGACACACACACACAGAATCCGAAGCAGGCTCCAGGTTTTGAGCTGTCAGCACAGAGCCTGATGCGGGGCTTGAACTCATGAACCATGAGATCATGACTTGAGCTGAAGTCTGATGCTTAACCAACTGAGCCACCCAGGCCCCCCTATGGTTCTGCCTTCGGTAAGAATTAACATTCCTAAGCTTTAGTATCCTTAAATTGTATTACTGTTTATTATATGGTAGTAAGGTAGAACCTCATTTACTATTTCTACTAGTATTTCTACCTAAGTTTGTAGCTACCTGCAATTCCTTACAGAACAAGAGAAATAAATACTGACAGTCATCTCACCTATAAGGCAAAAGGTCTTATATATATCAAGAGCTGATTGTCCTTCGTAATTGGATCATGAAGAGGATGCTACTGCCCTGTTCTGCTAATATGTCCTCTTTGGGGCATCAGTGGCCACTTCGGTTGTGCATTTTGCAGGCAGAGCTGCCTTCCGCTGGTGGTTCATCGTTAGCTTTCAAGTGATCACACTTAGGCTCTGGTCTCATCCTCGTTAAGGAGGTTGCCTATTTGGGGATTAAAGGAAGATTCTGAAAAGTAAGATAATGGGGCAGGAAAAGATTTTCTGGGATAAAAGTCTTCTGAGAGCTCTGTGACTATGGAGGAGGGAAGAGACAGAAAGAGAAGCGAGCCAGATTTTCTCGGCTTGGGTATTAGTTTAAGGTGACTATGACCTCGATTTGTAAAGAAGCTGCAACTTGATGCTTAATAGTATTGGGTTTTTAATATTTATACCACGTTATGCAAATGCTGCCCCTCTAAGTGTTTTCTTAAATCCTCTTAGCTTTTAAATGACAACTTTGATTGCTAAAAATAAATAAATAAATAAATAAATAAGATCTTTCATTTATCCAGCCTAAGAGTAGTAAACAATAGATGCTTAATGCCTGCTTTCATGTGAGCCCCCAAAGACTGAGACTTTTGTGCTAAAAGGTTTATTGCTGTGCTTTTGAGCTTATTAAGGTCATGTGTAACTTAAGGGGTGAAAAGCTGATGGTGCATTATTGGTGCAAAGGCAGCTCCTGGAATTGTGCAGGACATGTCAGCTCAGCAGTGCTCAGTAGGGAAGGCTGAAAATACAGTATTGCAGAAACTACGTGCATGCATGGCCCATCTGAAATGACTGGTGGTGTGTTTTTCTAGTGATCCAGATTGTTAGGGAATTAGACTCCTGCCCAAGTGATTTTGAATTAAGTTTCTGCTAACGGACCCTGAGATTGCTGGAGTGGAATGGGGGTGACTAATGGAGCTCCACCTTCGGTGGTGGTGTGAATCATTTCCCCCTTAGCAATAGTTGATAACATCAGTTATTTTATAGGTTTTTATTAAAAATGTCCCCACTCTTTGGGGCCCTCATAACACATTCAGAGAAGAGGGAAGAATTAAAAATTAAGCTCAACTCTGGCAAATGTAAATCAGTAGGACCTTGGGGGCTGTCGTTTATTCAGGAAATGTTATATTCAGTCCCTTCTATGTGCCCCACTCTGTACATTGCACGGGAATAATAAAAAAGACATAGCATGTATCCCAGGACAGCACTAGAGTGCTGTGAGCCTGGGACTGGAGAACACCAAAAAACCCCACAAGGATAGAAGCAGTTTATTTCAGGATCAGGGACAGCCCATGAGAAGTACTCTTTTCAAGGTAATTTATTTGCCAAGTGGTTGAGGCTTACCTGTTTGCTCTGTTCTATTTGGGCCACAGAGAGCCCTCTCAAGTTGGTCAGATGACACGGTGGCATGTGGAATGTTTTGAGGGCTCAGAGCACTGGCGCGGAGCTGGAGGGGGACAGTGTTTGCTCTCTTGCACACCGCGCTCATGCCACTCAGGGTTCCACTGGGCCACTTGTCAATAGATCCTGAGAGGGTCAGTTCAAGTGTATTGTATAGGTATGCCTTGCTTGGAATAAGGAAAAGAGACAAAACTGATTTGGTCATATCTTATCCACTTGGACTCCTCTATCTGGAACATACCTTAGGACGAAGAAAATTTATAAAAATAGTTTAAGCTTTTATTTACAGATATATCCACATGGGTCCTTTCTATACTTTAAACTGATTTTGAGACAGACATTACAAGGAAAAGAGTATATATTATCTCTTTTTTTAAAAATTTTTTTAAATTTTTATTTCTAGGAGAGAGAGAGAGAGAGATTGAGAGAGAGAGAGGGAGAGACAGCATGAGCAGGGGAGGGTCAGAGAGAGAGGGAGACACAGAATCTGAAGCAGGCTCCAGGCTCTGAGCAGGCAGTCAGCAAAGAGCCTGATGCGGAGCTCGAACCCACGAACCGCGAGATCATGACCTAAGCGAAAGTCGGACACTCAACTAAGCCACCCAGGCGCCCCTATATATTATAAAAGGAATGACCAACAACAATAGGATAAAGTGACAATTAATACTTTGAAAGGAAGGAAGAAAAAAAAAAAGAAAAACCAGAAAAGATGTTATCACTCAAAAGGCATCCCCATCTGTTTAATTTAGCATCAGGTGCGTTAGACTCATGACAGGGGAGATTTCTAAGATTTCTAGGGGATTGAAAGTTGGAACTGTTTACCTGGTGATTTTTATGCATCCCAGTTTGGGTATTTCTCTTCTGCAGACAATAAGACAATTGATGACCCCTGTTCATCAAGAGGTGTTGTACTTTGCTTTTTAGGAAGACAAAGAAATGCATCCAAGTTCTTAAAACATTCCCTATCAAAATGTTTAAAATTAAAATTTGAATACTTTAAGCACCAGATCCTCAGCACTTTGAAAAACTTGACTCCTCTGAGAGTTTTATAGTCCCTGAAAGGTAGACATTCAACTGCTTGGGAAAATCACACCACGTAGAAAATACTAATTTGTATTATAAGAAAAAGCCGGTTCCTTTATAAGAGGTAAGCTCTTATACCACTTTAAATATCACCTTATGTATATTATTCAGTTATAAAAATTTAACTTGCAACTTTCCAGGAACATCTGCACTACTTTGTGTCTACACCTCTTATTTGCCACTTGTTATTATTTTACTTGTTAGACTGTGTATATATACCACCCATCTTCCTGGACAGAAAAGTGTGTTCTTATGATTCTAGCTCCTGGTACATAGCAAGTCTAATAAATATTTATTGGATGACTCATGATGAAACAGTTATAATGAGCTTTCTAATTAATCCTTTGCTGATTATATAGATGCTTTCCATTATCTTTTTTCCTCCCTCTTTGTGGTCACACACTAAAATCTTTATGGTATTTGAACTGCATTTGATGATTAGAGTTGTCAGAACACTTGAATTCCTTTTTTAATGTCTTTGCTTTTCCCTTACTGAATTAAAGGGCGGAAGCAGCATGTGGTATTGTGGGATGTGAATAGGTTATAGGCTTCAGATGAAGCTCTGAAGCGTGTTCTCGCGGTTGGCATGTCCTCGCCTTGATGGGGTCACTGCGGTGAGGCCAGGGGCCTTTGGGGAAGCATGTATCACAGCATCGAGAGGATGCTCACCTGTGCTCACTCTGTCGTTGGTGCCAGGTGACTGTGGAGGAGGTCATGACCACAACTGCATATCTGGACCTTTTCCTGCGTAGTATCTCTGAGCCAGCGCTGCTCGAGATCTTCCTCCGTTTTATCCTGTTGCACCAGCACGAGAATGTCCACATCCTAGATACTCTGACAAGCCGAATCAACACCCCGTTTCGGGTAAGGCGAGCTGATTATATATATATATATATATATATAAACTTATATATATATAAGTTATAAAAATTATAACTTAACTTAGAAAGTTAAGGGACTTTATAACTCAGAACAAATTTCAGGAGAGCTTGTTTTGGGAATAAATGATGAATATTCTTTTCTCTAAGCCCCCTCCCCCGCTTTTTCTTGTAGCTTTTATTACTGTGACACTGGTATGCATTTCAAGGACCAGGTTTTATGTCCATCCTGCCTAGAACACAGACTAGGCCTTAGTCACTGGTGCAAAAAATTACTTAAGTGCTCTGATGAAATGATAAAAGCATATTCCCAAAAGGGCACAATGATTTTATAATATACCTTTGGTTATCTTCCCTATTTGGCTGTTTATCTTTACTTTTTGGAAATTAGAGATCAAAAGAATTCTTGTGTTTGAATGAACTTCTTAGAAAACTGTATTATCACACCCTCAGCACTGTGGAACCAAGGAGAATGTTTGGCCCAAAGCCAAGAGACAAGCCCAAAGGAGCTGAGGCTTGGGGCTAAACACTCTGGATGGGGAGCTGGCCAGGGTATCTGTACTTTTCTGTTAGCCCTGTCTTGTAAATAACCAAAGTCATATTTGAAAACAACTTGGGAAAATAAATGTCAAGCAGGAGATTGTGTGTGTGTGTGTGTGTGTGTGTGTGTGTGTGTGTGTTGGACAGTTGTAGGGGCACATTTTTTGTGGATTTTGAAAGTTGAACATTACAGCACAGGCATTTTGTAGGAGGGTCATTCTGCCTTATGGCATCATTCTAGACATAGGCTTTCTAATCAGATCCTGTAGGAGAGCTAAAAGCCTTAACACACATTCTCTCTGGCAGCATCATGTTTTTATCAAAGCTGCTAAAAAAAGAGGCCATTTTATTTTGTAATTCTGATTTATTTTCCATCTGTGGGGAGTAGAGCTATCCTTCCAATATCTGAACTAGAATGCGTGTATTTTGCTTCCCAGCTCTGTGTGGTGTCCCTGGCATTATTTAGAACTCTCATCGGTTTACATTGTGAAGATGTGATGTTACAACTAGTTCTAAGGTGAGTTGCCCTCTTTTGTTCTCTTTAAAGAAAAATTCAGTCTGTACTATTGCTATTATATTGTTCTTTGGGTAACATAAGCTGAATGGCGCCATGCTTCTAAGGAAAAAAATGATCAAGAATATCAGTCTAATTTCTGTATCATTTCCCAAGGTTAATTTTAGTTTTCCTATTAAGAGTATTTACGGGGCGAAATACATTGTGTAATAAATATGTGTCTGGAGATAATAGATAGGATGTTGGGAAATTTTCAGCCTGTTCTGAACAGGCTCTCCTGTTCTGTAGCTGAATGTCTTTCTCCTGAAGTACACATTTAGAGGCCTGTGTTACTGGAAACAACTTTTCCAAATATGAAACACTACTGATATATAATTTTTATGACTCTTGCTTTCCTAATGTTACACCTACAGTGTGCGCTCTCTGACCCATGAGTATATTTCAATTCAATTCAGTAATTGAATTGAATGAGTACTTTCTGCGTACAGTTCAGAAGAGAGTAGGGGATGGGGTAGATGGATTGAAAAGGGCTTATAAACAAGGTGTAGAAGGGAGGACCTTCAGAGGGACAGGTGAGAAAGGTTTGGGGAAGTGGCTAGTATTTGAAGACAGGTGTCAGGAGTCAAAGTGAACTGCTGTTAGGATGTCATTACTTTGGTCATTTGGCAGGGGACTCAGGAACACCGAATCCCAAATCTGGCCAAATTTGGCCCAAATCTGCCTCCCCTTCTGGGGTCCCCAAGGGAAGCATCTGCTTTGTGGAAGGAGAGAGAGGGAATGGCTAGGCTTTGTGCTCCCACATCCCCCTCTGGCTGTGTGGAAGCAAAAAGGAGGAAGTTAACCAGGGTTGTCTGGATGCCCTCCTGCCACCCCCTTCCTTTGAGGATGTTCTGATCCTTCGTTTGACCTCCTCCTTGGGAATAAGGGGAGATGAAGCCTAGGGCGGGGAAGAGGAGGAGACTTGGACCGCCTCTGGTCACCAATGGGGTTTTGATACAACGTGAGTAGAATTACTGAGAAGAGGACATTCCAAGTAGCTGTGATAGCGTTTCCAGCGCCATAGCTGTGGACAAGGAAGGGGATGGTGAAGTGGTCATGGGAACAAGGGGAGAAGCCTCACCCAGGAACACATTAGAAATGCAGAGTCTTGGTCTTCTCCCAGATATGCCGACTCAGGGCACGGGCAGGGCCCTGCAAACTGTGTTTTAATGAACTGTCCAGGGGATTCTGATGTGTGGCTAATTTTGAGAACCATTGGTCACAGGTTTAAGGAAGGGTGCAGTGCAGATAGAGCACTCTGCAAATGGCAGTGATAAAAAACCAAAACCAAAACCAGGCTTGAAGAGGTGGTGGTGGCATCATGGTGGAGGCCTTACAGAGTGATCATTTCATGGGAGAGTGTATCACCTATTAATTTTCTTAGTTTAAAAAGAGTTTTTGGACTTTCTAGGAGTTTAGATTAGGTCACCAGTCACTAATCTTAAGTCCCTGGCAAAGAACAAATCTGATCATGAAGAGAGAGCCTAGGTAGTCTGGCTAGAACATTTTGGGTAGAACGTCCCATCCTAAAATGATTGCTTCAGCCTCCCGTCAGGTGTCTGCTGACGTGACAGATGCATCAGCATGGCCTGAACAGAATCATCAGAGCAACTGGTTAAAGCCTTTCTTACTGCACCAGACCACACACACTTTGCGTCCTACGAGGGTAAAACCTGATGATATTTAAATGTTAAATTCCTGGGGCACCTGGGTGGCTCAGTCAGTTAAGCGTCTGACTTTGGCTCTGGTCATGATCTTACGGTCTGTGGGTTCGGGCCCTGCATCGGGTTCTGTGCTGATAGCTCAGAGCCTGGAGCCTGCTTTAGATTCTGTGTCTCCCTTTCTCTCTGCCCCTTCCCTGCTCACACTGTCTCAGTCTCAAAAATAAATAAAACATAAAAAAAAGTTAAATTCCTGAATGCTGCTTCTCTGGAGGCATGAAATGCAGCTGTCTTCTTCAGTGTCCCTGGAAGCCTGGCCCTGGTCAGGAGGTACAGGGCCTCTCCCCTCTGAGCCACTGTGTCACATGGGGCTCAGCTGGGGGCAGCCGACGGGACAGCGTCCTTCACAAGGGGAACGGACACTCCTCCATTGCCTCTTGTCTACTCATGACGCGGTGCTCCTTGTGTTAAAAACTGTCCTCAGAGATTGTCTTAGCTGCGTTTGAGATCCAGTCATGTATCCTGCGAAGGGGGAGAAATCGGCTTATGGTTGAGATATTTCCATGTCCAAGTCAGGGCTAGTTATTTCCCAGCAAAGTACCTGAAGGGCACATTATCACACATTCTGAATGGGGTAATGGGGGCCATATCCCACGTAACTACTGGGTCTTAGGCTCTCCGAGCCCGAGCATTTTCCTTATTTCTTTAATGAGGATGATGGCGATAATATAATAGTGATAGTTGCCCTTTATGTAATACTTCCTTTTTCTTTTTTTTAAAAGAGAGAGTGTGTGAGTGGGGCAGAGGGGCAGGTGTAGGAGAGGGAGGGAAGGAGGGAAAGGAAATCCCAAGTGGGCTCCATGGTCAGTGTGGAGCCTGGACGTGGGGCTCGATCCTGTGACTGTGGGATCATGACCTGAGCCAAAATCAAGAGTCAGACATTCAACTGACTGAGCCACCCAGGCTCCTTAATATTTTATTTCAAATTCTACCTCATTGCCTGGGGGAATCCACCAGCAGAATGAATAGAGCGTATACAGGGAAGTCAGGTACAAGGCAGACTCATGGGAAATTTCTGCTTCCCAGTCTCTGTCCTCTGAACTGCCAGGTTCTCTCCCTCCCTCACATTTTACGTTATATTTAATTGTCATGACATACATAGAACATAAAATTTATCATCATAACCATACAGTTCAATGAATGGTATTAAATACATTCACATTAGGGCACAGCCATTGCTACCATCCATCTCCAGAACCGCTTCTACCTTGTGACACCAACACTGGACCCGTTGAACACTAATTCACCATGTCTCCCTCTGCCAGGCCCCGGAAGCCACTCTTCTGCTTTCTGTCTCTGTGAATTGACTACTCTAGATTCCTCACTTAAGGGAAATCATACCCTATTTTTGTGCTGAATTTTTTCACTTTTCATTGTGTCTTCATGTTGTTGCATGTGTCAAGGTTTCCTTCCTTTTTAGGGCTGAATAATATTCCACTGTTGATATCATATTGTGTTTGTCTGTATATCTGGCAATGGACATTTTGGTTGAGTCCACTTTTTGGCTGTTGTGAATAATGCTTCTAGGAACATAGGAGTACAGGTACCTCTCTTTAACACCCTGCTTTCAATTCTTTTGGGTGATATACCCAGAAGTGGGATGGCTGGATCATACCGTAACTCTATTTTAAGTTTTTTACTGCTTTCTATAATAGCTACACCATTTTATGTGCTCACCAACAGTGCATGAGGGCTCCCATTTCTCTATATCCTTGCCAACACTTGTTATTTTCTGTTAAAGAAATGACATTTTTGTAATCAAGCAAAAATGACAGGCAGATTTCAAGAACCAGTCAGAACTCTTAGAAGTAAAAGCTATAGTTATTACAATGAAAAATCAGGAGTTTGGGTAAATAGCATGTGGGACACAGATTAAGAGAGAATTAGTGAACAAGGAGATAGAATGAAGAAGTTACTACATTTGCAGCAGAAAGAGGTAAAGAGATTAGAAATATGAAAACAAGGCTGTGAACGATGGCAGTTAATTTGATGAAGTGTAATAGATCCCATTAGAAGGAGAGTAAACTGCTGACTTGACCTATTCTAGTTTTGGAATTTCTAGCTCATACTAAGGGGTTTGGGAGGATCAAATGTGGAGATATCTGAAAAATGTTTGGAAACACTGTAAAATACTACACAAATTTAAGGGAGGAGAATTTCCTGGAAAATATGTCTTAAACTAATGAAAACGTCTTTTCTGATTAAGAATCTGTACAAAAGCAAAGACAATGCAAAATCCTTATTCTTCTAGTCATTTAAACTTTACCTTGAGGGACATAAAACACAGATTTATAATCTATCCTTTTTGTTATTGCCACTGTAGTGGTTCAAACGCACATGATAAACGTGTAGGTCTGAGAGGCAGTAGAGTGGTTGAGATTATGTGAATCCACTGAGTGAACTTATTTGTTATGTGATAAATAATAACTGCATGTCAATTTCTGTTGCAACCCAAATACTATTAAATATTGATATTTCAAAGTGATAATCCATTTGTAACTGATATGTTTCTTTCAGTTAGCATAATAATCAGGAAATGTAAGTTGAAATAAGGTATCCCCAAAAGAAGGGCTATTTTAGTAAGCAGAAAACCAAAGAGAAACTGTCCACCTGCATGGATGTGACACAGAATAAGCCAAAGGCAGGCAGGAAATGCTGATAAGCAGCGACGTGACAGATCACTCCATATTCCCGGCACTTGCCAGTTTAGGCAAAATTTAATTGCTTACCACCCTGAACGCCATTGCTGAATATTGTGCTTGGGGCACTTTTTCCAGAAGTGCTAGTCCGTCATCAGGTTCTTGAATTGCCTTGCCTGTTGTGTTCAGATAGAGGGAGTTTTGCTTGGAGAGAAGCTGTGTGCCCACTTCAGGAACATGTCCATCATGCATGGGAGCTAGGTGTCTGCAGGAGAGCAGAGGGGGAAAAAGGCAAGCCAGCCTAGAGGAAGATGACTAGGAAAAATACGGCCAGAACGTCTTTGAGAAACAATCTTTTTGAAATTTACCGATGCTGCCTCTTAGTGCATTATTGAGGTCCCCGTCGTCTTGTAGAAGCACCTTACCTACTTCCTTGCACTGCCCTGTTTTGCTAGTAGGGTCAGTGTAGCAGTAGGCAATGTGTGCTTTGTCATTGATTGGCTGTCACTGAACTGGTTCAGAAGCAATGATGCTTCACTTCAATGAGTGAGAGCCAGGGAGATGGACAGTGGGCCAAGGGGTGCGGAAGGTTGGGGAGATGATGAAAAAAGAGAAGACAATAGGGACAGTATCATTTTCTCCCTGCTGTGCCGTAGGATGACTGAGTAATCTGGAACTCTAAAATCAGATATTTCTTAGTTTCTGATGATTTTTACTGCTTTTCGAATTTAAATAAAAGCCCCTAAACAAAGTATGTACAAATGAAAGATGGCTTGAGGACAAGCACCTGTAATAAATTCCAGAGTGAATTTTCTGTTATTGGCAGCCACTTCATTTCGATATTTGACATCAGGGCAGCCTCTGACATTCATTCTGTTCCTAATCTTTCCCTGTAAGAGATGGGAAGACAGAGGGTCAATGCACGGTTTTCCCACTCTTCCTCTGGGATAGTCTTTCATTACAGAGCTGCGGTAGAAGTACTGCTTTCAATACAAGGGAGGAGTAATTTATGTGAACTGACTCCCCATTTTCAAAATTTTTAAAATTTATTTATTTTGAGAGAGAATGCACAGTGGGGAGGGGCAGAGAGAGAGGGGGAGAGAGAGAGAATCGCAGGCAGGCTCTGCCTTGTCAGCACAGAGCCTGAAGCGGGACTCGAACTCGGGTATCACTAGATCATGACCTGAGCTGAAATTGAGTCCGACACTTAACCGACTGAACCACCCAGGTGCTGTCACCGCCCCCCCCCCGCCCCATTTCAGTTTGATAGAACCTCTCCTTCAGCCTATAGGGAATCTCTGTTTATTTGATTTACTCAGAAGAAAATTCTTCATTTCTGCTGAAAACATGTGTTTGCAAAGTTGCAAATTTCCAATAACTCTTTATTCTAATTTAATTTCCAGCTACCCACTGGTGATATTTGATAAATAGCTTTATTAGGTTTGATCCACTGTTCCATTTCTAAAAAATTCTTCAAACAAAGAGCAGAAATCTATGTATATCAACTTAAATCATGAAATATGCTTGGTTGGAACTATAAGTAGTCATCAAGTTCCTGCAGTATGTAAGGGCATCCAAGTAGTTTCTTTGTTAAATAATTAATGATCAAAATAAGGAGATAATAAATCCTGTGTAATATGAGTTTCCCTAGGCCTCACCAGCCAGTGAGAAGAGAACAGTCCATCTCAACATCCACACGCTATGTTTCCCTGGGTCTTCTGGCCTTCAGCCGTCAACTAAGGCCTCCCTTCCTGGCCTTAGGGAGGCGTCTTAACCCATGGTCACGAGCAAGTGTGTCCACCACCACAGTTGCCACAGCAGTGCCTGGCGAGGCCCCTCTGGATGGCGTTGTCCCCCTCTGCCCCTTCTGTGACCCCACCTGAGAGTGCAGGGGTGCTGAGGTACTGGCCCAGCACAGCCTTCCCTTGTGCCCTTGGGGCCAGAGCCGTGCCCTGTGTAGACAGGTGGGAGAATGCCTGTCCTCTGCATTGTTGTCTGTCACCAAAGCATCTCTATTCACAGAGATTCTTTGAAAAGACCTCCTTCGTTTTGCTACCTACAGCTGCTTTTTTTAAAATGTTTATTTCTTTTTGAGAGAGAGAGGGAGAGGGAGCATGAGCAGGGGAGGGACAGAGAGAGAAGGGGACGCAGAATCTGAAGCAGGCTTCAGGTTCCAAGTTGTCAGCACAGAGCCTGATGTGAGGCTCGAACCCGCAAACCATTAGGTCATGACCTGTGCTGAAGTCAGACACTTAACTGAGTGAGCCACCCAGATGCCCCAGCACCCAGCTTCTCTCTCTTCTCTACTAGTGCTCAGATACAAGACCCCAGAGCTGGGCCAAAAATTAGAACAGACCCGTGCCCTTGCCCATATTATCCTCCTCTCTTTCCTTTTTGTTTTTATGACCTTTGATATTCACTTGACTTTATGAAAATTGATGCCACCACATCAGACCTGTGGGGAATGACTGGATCTTAGTGATTGCAAGTTTAGGCTTCAGGTGTGTGTGGATTGTATGCCTGTGGGTGCTGGGGAGAGGAGACCAGGACCCCCTGGCTGAGTACATAAAGAATGGTTTGGTTTTTTGGGGAATAGAAAGGCTAAGTGGCAAACTTGTTTCCCACTGTGAAAGTTATTAAGACCGTTGGTGGAAAGCACCATGAAAAGAATTCAGTCTTTTTTCCTCCTTGACTTAGGCTCTTGCAGTCGATCAGTCATTAATGTAAACGTAGGTTTTCCTCATTTGGATCGACAGGAGAAGTGGGAGACAGCTTTGTGGTTTTCAGGCCTCCGGACATACCCTGAAAGTTGTACTTTTATCTTTTCACCGAATCCTGCATCATAGCTTGTTTTCATCTGTACTGCCTCTTTCTCAAGAGCTGAAAACAGAAACAAAAACATTCTGGTTTATTGACGATCGTGGTTGTTCATGTAAGGGCCCTGGGTCTTCGGGAATTGGCCCTGCGTACACGTGACACTCGGCTCTGGTATCCTGCCTCCGACCCATTTGTCCTTCTTTGTTTAAAGGAACGGTGTCGTCTTTACCCCTGTTAAGAAAGTAAACCATTTAAAGAAACGTTTCTCTACTCATGCAGCCCACTGAGGTGCTCCCAGAGGGTAGGAGCTGATTGCCCAGATTTTCTTGTTTCTAGGTTCAGAGTGATCCTAAGGTATTTTTGATCACCAACGGGAAGTGTTGTGTGTGCGGGGGCCCCCAGCGCTCCTTGGCGAGGCCTTGGCCCCTGTGAAGTTGTGATTTATAATAAGAAATGCATACTTGGTCTGTGTCTTGTGTCTAGGACAGACCTCCTAAAGCCCTTGGAATTTCCTAAATGTTGAGAGGAACAAAGATGTGTTTGTTATGTTGATGAGGCCAGTCCAGGACCCCAGTGTGAAGATGGAGGCTGGTTGGCAGGAGACCCAACCATGTGATTAGAGGGTTACTTTCACCCTTAGGCCCAGTCCCCTGACCTCCAGGGAGAGGAGCGGGGCTGGAGGTTAAATCAGTCACCAACGGTCAGTGGTTTAATCGATCATGTCTATGTAATAAAGCCTCCATAGAAATCCAAAAGGACCGGGTCCAGAAACCTTCCAGGTTTTTGAGCACATGAAGATGTTGGGGAGAACAGTACCCCCGGAGAAAGGTCTGCACCCTTCCCCCACACCCTGCCCTGTGCCATCTCCTCCGTCTGACTGTTCCCCAGTTACATCCTTTTATAATAGAGCGGTGATCCAGGAAGTAAAATGTTGCTCTGAGTTCTGTGAGCCACTGCAGCATATTAACTGATATCCAAGGAGGTTGTTGGAACACCCGATTTATAGCGGGTTGTACAGAAGCACAGGTGATAGCCTTGGCTTGTGATTGTCGTCTGAAGTGTGTGTACGTGGGAGGATGGCCATGGAGGACTGGACCCTTCACCTGTGGGATCGGATGCTATCTCCGGGTAGATAGGGTCAGAACTGAGCTGAGTCAAAGGACACCCTGTTGGTGCCTGGAACCTTACTGGCTTGTTGGTGTGGGGACACCTCTTCTCCCTGTCCCCAGCTCCCGTGTTGGAACTGGTGACCGGAACACCTTTAGCCACCATATTTTTTCGGGGTCAGCCACAAGAATACGAGAGGAGGTTTGCACTGTGGGGTGGGTCTCTGCCTTTTCATGCAACTGCGGTCATTCAGCAGCTGCTGTGAGCCAAGTTTCTGGGACTATAAAACAAATCTGTTAAGAAAGCCCTTGCTCTGGGAGCACGTTGTACTCAGTGTCTCAGTGTACTGAGATGCTGAAATAATTGTGACTCTAGGTAAGTGTGCTTTAGGAGAGGGCGGTGAGTGTAGTGGAGGGTGGGAGCAGCTGTCTTGGAGCAGGCAGCCCTGGAAGCCTTTCTGGAGAGGTTGACACTGAAGCTGGCCTTCATGGGATGACAAGACATTGGTGAGGCAGGGAAGGGGGAACACATTCCAGTTGAGGGTTACAGTAGGTGCAGACGTGGAAGCAGAGGGATAGCAGACCCAGTGAGAGAGGAGGCAGTTCCTGAAGGTTACGGCATGAAGACCCTCTGCAAAGGGGTGCTTCTGTCAGAAGAGAGAAGCCCTCGACAGGTTTTAAGCAAGCGAGTGAAGCCTGGGGGCTGGTAGGATGGATGGATTGAGAGTGGGGAGAGGATGCAGCTGCCTCGGGCCATGACGAGTCCTGATGGGAACAGACGTTGCAGACACTGAATGCAGCCGTGTTGTCTTTCCAGGTATCTGATCCCTTGCAACCACATGATGCTGAGTCAGAGGTGGGCTGTGAAGGAGAGAGACTGTTACTCTGTTTCTGCGGCCAAGCTGCTCGCCCTGACCCCCGTCTGCTGCTCCAGCGGGATCACCCTGACGCTTGGGAACCAAGAGAGGGATTATATTCTCTGGTCAAAGTGTACGCATGATAGTTCAGGTAAAAGGAACTCGCCTAGTGAATAAGCTTTAAACAAAGAAGATGCCATTCCTCCTGAGGATATGTGTCTCTGTGGGTCGACAGGGAAGATTGCAGTGAACCCCATTTTGTTTATGAATGACTGAGTGGGGGTCTTGTTCTGCTTCATGTTAAAAAATTTTTTTTAATATTTATTTATTTTTGAGAGAGAGAGAGAGAGAGAGAGAGAGAGAGAGAATGAGAACGAGCTGGGGAGGAGCAGAGACAGACATACAGTATCTGAAGCAGGCTCCAGGCTCTGAGCTGTCAGCACAGAGCCTGATGGGAGTCAAACTCAACAAGCTGTGAGATCATGACCCGAGCCAAAGTCAGAGGCTTAACTGACTGGGCCACCCAGGCGCCCCCACCAGACCTTTATTTTAACTAGGCTTTAATGGGCATCCACAGAGTATCTATATGAAAATATGTGCCAGCATGTCTTTTTAAACAAAATGAGGGTGGAGATGTGGAGATGGTTATAGCTGAGATAGAATTAGTCCTTATTTTAATTTCCAAAATGACCCCTTTGTGGGTGCTTGCCTGCCAGTAATATATCATCATAAATCTTAGAATTTGTGATATGGTGACCGTATCCGATTCATTTGGTTGGCCTACTTAGGTTTTTTCTTTTTTTTTTTTTTTTTAAGTTTGTTTATTTATTTTGGGAGAGAAGAAGGTGCCCACTCAGGTGTGGGAGGGGCAGAAAGAGGGAGACAGAGAATCCCTAGGAGGCTCCATGCTGACAGCATGAGGTGGGAGAAGCTTGATCCCACGAATTGTGAGATCCTCACCTCAGCCAAAATCAAGTCAGAGAGTCAGATGCTTACCTTACTGAGCCACCCAGGTACTCTGAGGGTTTTATTTTTTTTGAATAAATACTTTGTTTGTTTGTTTTAATAGGAGTTATAGTACTCATGCTATTTGCCAGTTACAGTTGATCTTGTACAAGTAAAATTTATTTATTTCTTGAGAGACACACAGCACGCAAGCAGCAGAGAGGGGCTGAGGGAGAGAGAATCTTAAGCAGGCTCCACCCTCCACGTAGAGCCTGACGTGGGGCTCCATCCCAGGACCCTGAACCAAAATCAAGAGTCAGTGTTCAGTTGACTGAGCCACCCAGGCGCTGCACAGGTAAAATTTAAATGGTCACCTATATCAATCACCCTGCCCTCTGGCAGGCAGCTGAAACAAAGGAGCCTTTGTTCGTCTTTGGTGGTCAGAAGGCTCTTTCAGTTCACGATGGTTCTGCCTTTCCTGTGACCACTAGGAAAGGGTGCAACCGTGGTACTGACCCCAGTATTTTCAGTGTGTATTCTGATATCCCCAAACAATGCCAGCCTGTCTCTCCAGGTACCATCCTGTTAGTTAAAGTATATTTTGTCTAAGAGCTGGACTACTTGACTAAGAAAATATCAGGGTGTTTGGTGTAAATGCAACTGTTAGAAATTAAGGTTGTTGTATTGATTCTTGGTCTTTAAATAAAGATACAGTGTATCATGGAAATTAATAATTTATGTGACAGTACAGCAAGTTATTTTAAATATATTTTCCTGTTCGGTAAACTAGTCTAGATATCTTCTATTTTCCCACCAATAGTCATTTTTAGAACACAGTTGACAACTGATGGCTTTTTTATTTACTGAAAGTTGTTTCAAGAATGATTCCGGGGCCGACCTTGCTGCAGAATTCAGAATTTAAATTAAAGAAGCTATTGTCGAGTGCCTACAACTTACCACATTCTTCCCCTGTAATCACATTTAATCCTTTGAAGAAAGCAGTATTTCCATTTTACAGATGAAGAAACATACTCAGAGAGAGGAGTTGACTTCTTTGAGGCTACGCAGCTGATGGGCCCTCTGAATCCAAATTCCACATTCTTGCTGCTCTTGCACTCTGGGATTGCCTTACAGTAGAGGAGTGCCCTAATGGATGGACAGTTGCGTAGGTGGGTGGGTAGACGGGTAACACAATTTACAATTCTGGCCTGGCCTGGTAGAGACTTAGATAGTGCAGAGACAGGAAGCTTGCAAAGGTGTGGCTTTGAACAAAGTAGGAACAGGGGTTGACATGAGATGGCCTGTGCTTGAGTTGTGCTCTGCCACTGACTAGTTGGGGGATCTTTTGTTCCTGAGCCTCAGTTTCTTTGCCTGTAATTGGAGAAAATGATATCTGTCATATAGGGCTTTTGGGAGGAGTAGTTAGTGTTGAAAAAAGCACTTGCCGTATAAAATCTCCATTTTAGAAATGGTAGAGTTCATTGGGCTCTGTGCTGACAGCTCAGAGCCTGGAGCCTGCTTCAGATTCTGTGTCTTCCTCTCTCCCTGCCCCTCCCCAGCTTGTGCTGTGTCTCTCTAAAATAAGTAAACATTAAAAAAAAAAAAAAAAAAAAGAAATGGTAAAGTTCTGGGGCACCTGGGTGGCTCAGTTGGTTAAGCGTCAGATTCTTGATTTTGGCTCTGGTCATGATGTCACAGTTTGTGGGATTGATCCCTGCATCAGGCTCTGCGCTGACAGTGTGGAGCCTGCTTGGGATCCCGTCTCTCCCTTTCTTTGCCCCTCCCCTGCTTTCTCGCTCTCAAAATAAATAAACTAAATTAAAAAAGAAAAAAAAAAGAAAGAAATGGTGGATTTCTAGGTCTCTTCTATGATTCTATAACTTCTCTAAAGATAGACATTCTGTTCTTTCCTTCTTAAAATCTAACCATGTTTTTACTCAGAAATCATTTAATCAGACATTATTAGGGCTAAAGTAGCCGGCGAGACAAAATCTTAGCAGCCAAGTGAGTCACATCTGTGTCCACTACCTTTGTCTCCCCCACCTCCTGTAAGTGTGAGAAGGGGGCTCGTTCTGACCTGTTTCTGCCTCCCGTGGCAGGGGCCGTGGAGCAGCCACTGCCGCCGGCGTTCTCGCCATCGGCCTGCATCGTGGAGTACGGCAAAGCCCTGGACATCAGCTACCTGCAGTACCTGTGGGAGGCCCACACCAACATCCTCCGCTGCATGAGGGACTGCCGAGTCTGGTCCGCCCCGTACGACGGAGACTATCCCGACCCTGAGACGTTTCTCCAGACTCTGACGGAGGACAGCGCGGTCAACTCCACCTGTCCTGTGTTCAGGCTCCCGCAGCAACTCCACAGGAAGACGGGCTCTCCGCGGCCTCCAAGAAAGGAGAAGAGCCACACGGAGCTGGAGTGGGATGACAGCTATGACACCGGCATCTCCTCAGGGGCGGACGTGGGTTCTCCTGGGCCCTATGATGATCTGGAGAATTCGGGCCGACCAGCACCAGTCGACCCCCCCAAACACATCCAGGAGATGAAGAAGAACGCCATCCTGCTCTTCAAAGGGTCCTACATCGAAGAGTCTGACTTCCAGGATGATGTGATGGTGTACCGGCTGTGTGCCGAGAAGGACTCTGAGGACACTAGGAATTTACAGGAAGAAACTGCCAGGCCCTCAGGCCAAGGCCAGACTGAGGCTCAGGGTCCTGCCCTGAACAACGGCCCCCTGCCCAGCCCTCCGTCAGACACAGATTCAGAGGAGGAGCGTGATAGGGACAGTTCAGACCTGTTTCCAAATGTGTCCCAGGAACCGAAACCAGAAGAGGAGCCGGAAATAGCCGTGCAACCAAACGCAGAGTTAGCACCTCCCATCTCCGAGGCCGAACCCGACTCAGACCCGATGGTCATTAACCCGGGGGGTGAAGATTTCATCGCCCAGTATGACCAGATCATTAAAGAACTGGATTCGGGCCCCGAGGGCTTGACGGAACAGAATTTTCCCTCACCTGATGTCTTGCATCCCAAGAAAGAGCAAGAGGGGAAGGAAGAAGAAGAGAGCAAAGGAGAAAAGGAGGAAGAGGAGGAGGCGGAGGGGGAGAAGGCCCTGGAAGGGGAAGAGGACGACTTTGATTCTTTTATAGCAGAAACTCCCACCATCGACAACGTGCCATCCCCATTTGGGGTGAGAGAGGAGACTGCCTTTGCCAGTCACCATCCTGTGAGGACTCAGAGCACTCCGTTCACAGGTGATCTGCAATTGCTTTCTGCTTTCTGCTTTTGTAAGGACTTGTACATAATGTAACAAGAAAGTAAGGTGGAGGTAAGGAGCGTTATCAGTTTACCTAACAGAGGGGTGAAAGTATATTTGTAAAGACCAGAGAGACGTGGTTTCCTTTTATCTTGTTCCTCTGGCAGTCTTTTCCCCCCCAGCCAATCAGATTATGCATTTCACACCTTGCTAAGTGTCTGATAAATTAACGGGACGGATGAAGCCACACAGGAAATCCAGTCTTATTATTAATAGCTTCATTTATCTGGTCTATTAATTTTTCTCCATAGCCATGTGTTTTTATGCGTATTGGAGAACGTCACGGTTTCCCCCACTAGAATATATGCTCCGGAAAGGTACAGGTGTTGGATTGTTCTGTGCTCTTCCCCAGCACCTGAACAGTGGACGGAGCACAGGGCAGGTGCTCAGCATACCTGCTGAGTAAAGGCAGCTGTGTACACACGTCAGAGACCACTGGAGTTACTTATGTCTTTTCTTAATAGCTCATTTCAGGTAACTGCAAAACCTTTATCCAAAAATAAGTAGAGTAGACCTCCATACACCTGTAACTCTGCCAGAGAATAGGTGTGTTCTGGCGTACGCCCCTAACAACGGGTAGGAATCGGGTAAGAGCCAAAGGGATAGGCTAGGGTATCAGACCTGTGGATTGCGGTGAGGAGTCATGATAGAGAACGTCACTAAATATTAGCCAGTAATATCTGAATCTGCAAATCAGGATGAGGAGGGAATTGGGACAGAGGGTTCATCAAACTCAGGGAAGGCCGGCATGGGACCCCTGAGCAGTGTCCAGGTAGCAAGGAGAGGTACCCCCTTTAGGGGCTGATACTGCAGAGGGACAGACAGTGACCCTGGAGTCCAGCGTGTGGGGGATTCTGGGCTCTAGCACTTCTGGCTGTGAGGTCCTAAAGCCTCCACTTGCTCTGGAGAGAACTGAATGGGATCCTGGGAGGGTGTGCGCACGTGTCGTGTATGTGTGCCTGTGTGGTTATTACTCTTAACAGGAGCCCCCAGCAGCCGTTGCCGAGGCTTGCCTTTCTCTGGCAAGCAGGGAGCTGCTTGGTGAGACTAGGCTGCACTCCGCCTCCTTGGGTCCCCCCAAACAGATGAAATCACATTATCTTCTGGCCCAGCCTAGTAGGCTTCCTGTGATTTCAAGAAGCTCTTCCGGCCTCCTCCCGTATTTATTCATCTATTTACTGAGGCCTGAAATTTTATTTAAAGAGGGAGAGAGCTTTTAATTCCGCAATTTAAAGGCTTGAGGTTCTAGTTGAGATAACATTTCAGTGTGAATGAGTTTTAATTAAAATCCAATCAGTCAGTCAATCAGAAGTAAGAAGGATTAGATAATCTCAATTTGCCCAGGTGATGGGGAGGGGGAGGGAGAGCAGGAGAGCCCTGGCTGCCTGAAGGAGGGGCGGAGAGCTCAGTAGAAGGAAAGGGGCAGCAGTAACCTAGCACACACCCCAGTTTTGCCTGGGGCCTGCCCCATTTACTGTGGCCCAGCTGGAAAGCCCCACTTTGCGGAGCTCTCTGGGATGTGAGGGCCACCCATGGCTAATGAGGGTGGTTCTTTAGAATCCCAGCTTTCTCCTGAAAGAGCTTCATCCCTGGGAAATATGTAAATTGAGGGAACAAAGTACAGCTTAAGGCAGGAAGAAAAAGCAAATGCAACACCTTATTAAATAACATCAGTGTTTTGCATAAGATACACCTGAGAACCAACAAAATGTGATGGGAGGTTTTTGATACATACAGGTAATTTCAAATAAAAGTTGGCTTGTTTCCTCCTTTGAAATTTGTACACAGCTTCAGGAAACATCGTTTCTCTTTCCACATATATAAACTTTGTAGTTTCCAAACTTCTGAATGTGTTGTATGGCTGTAAGTGAACTTCTGTCTCTCCATGGAATCACTTTCCACCGAAGTGAATTTGCTTCTCAGGACAATCAAAGCGTTCCATTTCATTTATCTAATTAACTCGATTTGTGCATTCAGCAATCTTTTATTGACCTCCTAATATTTGGCAGGTTCTGTGCCAGATACTAAGGACAGAAAACTCAAGGAATTCATAGACTTTCAGTGGAGACATCAGGAAAGGACTGTACTCAGTGAGAAAAGCATTATTTTTTAGTTTATTTATTTTGAGAGAGAGAGAGAGACGGGGGGCGGGGGGAGGTTGGGGAGCAGAGAGAGAAGGAGAGAGAGAATCCCAAGCAGGCTCTGATCGGGCCCTGATGGGCTTGATCCCACGACCCTAGGATCATGACTTGAGCCAAAATCAAGAGTCAGACACTTAACAGCTGAGTCACCCGGGAGCTCCAAAGAAATGCATTATTAGTGATTGTATGTCATGTCCTATGGGAGCTCAGTGGGGGGAGTGGGAAAGACTTAACAGATGAGAGATTCAAACAATGGATAGAGGCTCTCAAGTAAAATTGGCTGAGAATGATTGGGGAAGAGGGAACAACAGGCAGAAGACGGACGGAGCCTGACAGTGCAGGCACAGGTGTGACAGAGCGTGGATCCTGTGAGACCGTGAAGTACCTGAGAGCAGAAGCCAGAAAGCTTGGATGATGCCACTTTATGGGGAGGGGTCTTTGGGCCAAGCTGAGGAATAGGGACCTTACGCTGCTGGCACTGAAGAAGCGTCCTGGAACTCAAATGTCCTGGAAGTGTTTGAGTTGGCAAGTGATGTGACTGTGTCTGTGTTTGGAAGGCCAGCCTGGAGTAATAGGGAGAGAGAGAGGGCACTGCCACCAGGAGCAGAGGGGAATCTGCTGTCATCGTGGCAGAATTCACAATGCGCTCGTGCTTTGAGTTCTGTTCCTGGGAGAGTCTCACAGGCTGTATTCACACGTATGTACCAAGATGCATTTGCAAGGATGTTTGTTGCGGTGTTGCTTATAATAGAAAAAGACTGGAAACAACCCAAATGTCCACTAGTAGGAGACTGTTTTACTAATGTAGTACCCATGGCGACTGAATAGCTTGAGGCCTTGCGCTGCATGAGACCACTGTGTGTGTGCTGATCTGGGACAGGCTCTAGGATAGAGTGTTCAGTGGAAAAGCAAGGTGCAGGACAGGGTGTGGAGGCTGTTGTCATTTGGTCAAAAAAAAAAAAAAGAAAACCCAGGACAGACAGACAGACAGACAGACACACACACACACACACACACACACACACAGGCAAGGTAGTGTGTTGGTATGGAGAAGCAATACTGGAAACAGATGGGCTGGATTACAGCCGTGACTCTTCATTTATTGGCTGCGTACAGTTAGCGTTCTGCCTCATCCTTCAAGGGTTAAATAATGAACTTCGTAGGCTCCTGTAGAATATTTAAGTAATTGATAACATGAAAAGTGTGGAGCGCTTGGAACACTGCCTGGCACATAGTAAGGGATCAGTGCATGTTTTAAGTAATAATTCAGTTATTATTGTTTTATTATATATGTAAAACACTCCCGGAAGAATACGTTCTAATTAGTTAACAGGGGTTGCCTCCCGAGAGAAAGCCTGTTCTTTATGTTTCTGTACTGTTCGAAGACAATTTAAAAAAATCATTTAAATCTCTGCTAAAATAGAAAGACTGTTGCCGGAGTCCAGACAAGCAGTGATGGGACTCTGACCTCAGGCAGAGCTGGCAGGGAGGTGGCGAGCAAGACCCGTATTCAGGAGGTATTGCTAGTGTGGGACTGGCGGAGCCGAGGCACGGAATTGATGGCTGCTGCGTTCTTGGAGTTAGAAAATACGGGAGGAGCAGGAGGGTCGACAGAGGCAGGGGAAGAGGGCACACGAGAAGGGGGAGGCATGAATGACACGTCGTCTTAGTTATTCTGAGAAGTTAGTACTTGCTGGGTGGGGAGTTTGCCTGTCCTCCTAGAAGAAGAGAGGAAGAAGAAACACATTGTCCACCCCCGTACACACCTGTAGCTTTCTGAATTGTAGCTGAGTTTTTTCTGATTTTCAGCCGCTTGGCAACTGTTTGTTGCTAAGCAGGTTTTTTTTTAGTTTAAGTGCTGGAAATCAACTAAGAATAAAAGAAGGATTTGAAAGGGTTTCATAGATATCTCTTACTGCATGTGCCTAATGAGTTGTCATTAATGTCATTAGTGGATTATGACAGTCGCTGGTCTTGACCTACTGTTGTCATTCAGAACAGAGATGGTGATGCCACTCACTCGCTAGAGGGGGCCGATCTGTTTCCCTCCCCTGCGGGAACGGTAGACCGTACCCGCTCCGCTCTGGTCACTTGCACGGTCAGCTGGATGGCCGCACAGGCAAAGTACAGTCTTGGGCCGTGAGGGGCCAGCTGTGGGCTCCCACTACGGACATGTGTTTCTAGGAGATTCTATCCACCTAAAGTCACTTAATTCACCTGCCTTGGCTCCCTCTGGAGGGAAATAGATGCTGAACCAGGGACCGCAGGTGAGCAGGGGGTGGGGGGCCTGGAGGGAAGATAGGAAAGACCGGGCCAAAGTCGAGGAGGATGAGCCCAGCAGCCTTCACCCGGTGTCTCTCTCTGAAAAGCTTGAATTGGGTTGTGATGCCTTCCGAAGAGTTACCAGTGATGTTTCTGGGGTTTTTGAGGAAGCCTCATTAAGGAGCCCTCAGAGTGGGATTCTAATCCAGTTTCTGAATGTGTTTGGCACACTCCCAGTTGTGTTTTGTGAGCAGGGCCTCTGCGAAGGCTCTCTACTCAGAGGTCAGTGAATGCCTGTGTTGTGAAAAGCTCTGTCCCCATCCCAGAGATGAGAAGGTTGAGGCTCATCTAAATACATGAAGAGGTAGTACCTTTTTGTTGGAGGCCCCGGTAGAAACATCCTCTGTAACCCCGGCAGCAGGAACATTGGCGTCATCCCTGACCTGCCTGCACGGGTAAGGGGTTTAGGTTTGGTGTTCCCATTTCTCACAGACAGCTTCTCTTTCCTTGCAGAGAGTTTTACTGTCTTCCACCACCAAGGCTTCTGAATGAAGCATCTCGTGTTGAAGCATGTTTTTGTTAAACTGCTATTAATGTTGGTGATATCTTCACAAGGCCGTGTATTCATCAAGGGTGATGTGCTTTTGTTACAAAGATGCGATGGTTTAGAGGCATCATCAATAGCTCCACTGGGGGAAATACAGAATTCTTATTCATTTTGCTTAATGGACCGCTTTTATGGTAAAAATGGAAAATGTCTTCAAGAAATTTTATTAATGCCAGATTAATTTTTTTGATTTGCCCTGTCTTCAATGAATTCCAACATAAAGCATATTAATTTTCTCACGATCCAAATTAGTCAAAGCTCCTTTTTGCCTAAGTATTTATGAACTACTGTGGCAGTCATATGGATTTTCTTTCTTGAGGAACCTATGGCACATCAAACTACACCTTCCCAAACTGAGTCCCTCTCCTCCCTCCCTCCCGTCCCCCACCTGAAAATTACAGTGTTGTTTCCAAGCTGTCCAGTGCTGTTAAAGTTATAGCCCAGGCCTCATTCACCCCTGATTTTTCTCTTCTTCTGTTTCTTACAGTTCCTGTTTACCATGTTGCTATTTGGTAAACATAGTTTGTATGCATTTGGTAGTCTTTACTAACACAAAGGTTTTCTTGTTACTATAACTTTTGTTGGTTTCTGATGTTTGTATGAAGCCCTAGAGCATGCATCTTAATGAGATGATTGAATATTAGGTTTTTGAGCTCTGGTAGTTCTGGGAAATACAGCAACATTATGGAGAAGTATATTTTATTTTTTTTAATGTTTATTTTTGAGAGAGAGAGAGAAAGCACTAGTAGGGGAGGGGCAGAGAGAGAGGGGACAGAGGATCTGAAGCAGGCTCCACGCTGACAGCAGTGAGCCCGATGTGGGGCTTGAATTCACGAATCGTGAGATGGTGACCTGAGCCAAAGTCAGACGCTCAACAACTGAGCCACCCAGGTGCCCTGAAGTGTATTTTAATTTTTAAAATTATGCTTCCTCTGACTTTTTTCAAGGTCTGTGATAATTTTCAAAGTATCAAAACCACTCTCAGAGTCAAAATATCAGTTCCCAGGCACGTATTTCTGCTTTCTCTTGGTGCTGGTGGTTTGCTGCCTGTTCTGCTTTGAGGCAGGAGAAGACCCGGCTCTCTTTGCTTTTTCTGTATTTGATCTGCACCTGGTGGGCCTGCGGTTTGGGAGCGGTGGCCTCAGTGGCTCCTGAGTTATCAAGGAAAGAGGTCCCCGGTGCTGAGCCAGCCCTGAAGACTTGTGTTCTTCCTGCAGGCCCATTCATCAGTGTGGTCCTGTCAAAGCTGGAGAACATGCTGGAGAACTCTCTGCATGTTAATTTGCTGCTTATTGGGATCATCACTCAGCTAGCCAGCTACCCACAGCCCCTCCTGCGCTCCTTCTTGCTCAACACCAACATGGTCTTCCAGCCAAGTGTCCGCTCCCTCTATCAGGTACGTTCCCTGAGCCCATATCCATACCTGTTGATTTTATGGGTGCTAAGGAGAGGGCTGCTTCTCTCCTTTCCTCTGTGATTTTGTTGTTTTTCTAAAATCCCTCGGTTCTAATTCATTTGCTCTCCATCCCCGTCCTATGACACCAGTTGTGTAGATTATTCTAGACAAATGGCAAAGCTTCATTTTAGTTTGATGTTTCAAGGGTGCCCTATCGAGAATACCCAGGCAGTTAAAAACAAGCAAATGCCTAATATCATAAAAGATCCTGCAATGAGGGCTGTACCTGAAAGATCTATTGATAACTGAGGGTGGAATTCCATTGTGAAGCATTAACATCATTAATGTTGCTTTTGGCAGGTCCTTGCATCTGTGAAAAACAAGATTGAGCAGTTTGCTTCTGTGGAGAGAGACTTCCCAGGGCTCCTCATACAAGCCCAGCAATACCTGCTCTTCCGAGTGGACATGTCTGACATGACCCCTGAGTCACTAACCAAAGGTAAGTCCGGTGTCTCTCTGTGAGTCTCCTCCAGCTGTTCTTCCTTTTTCCCCAGCCTCCTGATTTGGGTTCACAGAGGCTGTGCTGGCTCCTGGGCCTTAAAAGCATCTAAATACACTTTTGTTTTTACCCCACAGGGAGGGGCCTCCTCTTTGTGTTTTGAAACCTAAAGAAAAGTGTCCCCTGCGTGCACCTGGCCTGCTCCCAGCTGGGAGGGCTTCATAGGACATTTGTTTCCCCGCCCGACAGTGGTTCAGGGAAGGAGTGCTGTGTGTTGTTGCTTGGCTAGAATAAATAACTTGGCGTGTATGGGCCAGAAAGGCATTATGTGCATGCTCTGAACTATTTTTTGGCCAGTCCTGCCCTGAGGAGGGCATCCCTTCTCTTTCTTACATTTTCAGAGACTCTCAAGCCCCAAATAAATGTGCTTTAGGGCTCTGGAAGGTAAAAACTATTCATCTGGACTGGGAGAAGGAGAAGCTGAGCCTAAAGTTTCTGAGAGCGCCCTTTTGTCAGCTTTAGAGGTGCCAGGCGGGGGGTGGGCGGTGGTCGATGCCCAGCCGGAGAGCCGAGACTGGTCCTGCAGGCCGGCCAGGCCTGGGGGCACCCCCGCTTTGCCTCCCTTTGGCCCAGGCTGGATGGATTTAATGGCCAGTTTTCTTCCGAGCCACGACGTACACCAAGATGAATGCAAACTGGGAAATGCCCCGTACTGCACTGGCTTTTGCTCGTCACACCACACGGACAAGCCAGGCTTCCTTGTGACCAGTGAACAGTGGAGAGCGGGGGGCTCCCAGTCCCCAGCTAACGGCATGTGATCAGAAACAAGACTGAGAGTGCGAGGCAGACATGTGACTCAGGGCAAGTTTTAAACCTTTAAAGGAAGCTGAAAAGACCCCAGAACTCTGATGGTTTGACCTTGCCTCTGTGTAGCTCTTTCATCTTGGTCACTGGGCCTCACTGGGCCTCATGTTCCTTGACTTTTAAATGACGAGTTTGTTTTCCATCTCAAGTCCTTTTGGCTATAGAGCTCTGGCTGTGAAGAGCATGCAGGGCACTGCAAGGCAGGTTTTGAAAGACAGGTGGGCCCTGTGCCACTGGGAGATGAGGGGGCAGGCTCCAAGCTTTGGCCCTGGAGAAGAGTAGGCCAGGCTGGGCTGGGCCTTTCACGGAGGGGGAGTAGCTACCCCCACGTCTCTGTGGGAAGGTGGGCTCCGGCCCCACATGGCCTCTCCTAGCTCATGGATTGCTGGTCTGTTAGCTGAGTTCTTCCTGAACCCAGAGCACGCCGCTGGAGCCCACCTGGTGAGCGTTAGCTTTCATGCAGTAACGAACCACTGCAGTAACTCAGCGGTTTAAGAGAAAGCCATTTGAGTGCTCATGAGCCTGTGTGGTTGTCTGGGTGATCTGATCTGGGCCAGCCTCGGCTGATTTTGGCTGGACTTGCTGGTGTGTGGCTGTCAGTGGGTGGCTGGATGTCTGGGATGGCCTCATTCACATGAGTGGTTGCTGGCTGGGGTGATGGAGATCGTGGAGGTCTATATTACTCATCATCCAGAGGGTTCCTTAGCCCTGGCTCATCAACATAACAGTTGTAGGGTTGCAAGAGCAAGAGCAGGATTATACGAAATCTTTTGAGGCTCTGTTTCGGGACCCAAACAAGGTCAATTCTGCAACATTCTGTTGGGCAAAGCAAATCATTGAGCCAGCCCAGGTTCAAGAATGGAGCAAAACTTCCACCTCTCCATGGCAAGAGCTAGAAGAATTATGGCCATTTTTATAATCTATAGACAGAAGGTGACTTGACTCTTCTTACATTACACTCCATGCTTGGCCTTCATTTGTATTTTTCAATTTGTAACATGCTTTCCCAGACAAACTTATTTTCAGTAGCACTGTGCAGTGGGCGAGGATACTACTGGCTTCATGTTCATAGAAGGCAGCTGAAATTAAATGATAAAATGAGACCCAGTCAGCCAGGGTCACGAAGCTCAGGTGCCTGAGCCTGTCTTGCCCAGTGTGTGGAGCCAAGGGCACAGACGCTGACTGGCCTCCTAGGCGTTCCTTGACCCACACACTCTGGACAAGGTGGGGGTGGGGGTGGGGTAGGGGATCACTCACACCTTGTGCTGTATCCTGGCTTCAGACATGTTTCATGGCGGCGGATGCCAAGTATGTGCCCAGGGGAACTTGTTCCCATCATGTACAGATGTCAAATTAGCCATAGTTGATGCTTTCTAAAGTCTGTAATGTTCAGGGGGCTTTGACTTGTTAGAAGCTACTCTCAGGGAAGAAGACTTTCCTTTAACAGAATTTTGCAGATTAATTTTCCAACTTCTTTCAGATTCGCAAAGTGACACCCTCTTTTCAACTTAAAAAATCTCTAAACTCACAGAATGAGAAAGCTGTGTGTCCCCTCACACAAAGCTGACCACCAAAGCATTGAGTGTGATGTGATTGCCTATAAATGAGTTGAATCCAGGAGCTTGACTGAGAGATCTGGCCACACACGGGGGTTTGCTGTGTGTGTGAGCTGTGTGCTTTGTCTAGCACTGTGGACCTGGGGGTGAGCCTGTAACAGATTTCTCACCTGACTTTTAAATCTTGCCAGTGTTAGTCTTGAAAACCCTCTGTTGCAGCTTTTCAGACCCAGGGCAACATTTTAGGAAACAACTCCTGATTCTGACATTTATTTATACTTTTTTATATTTTCCTTCTTCCCTGCCTCTTTCTGCAGGTGCTTGTGTGTGCTTGCTGAGCCGTCTGATGATGGGTGGAACTCAGGTGCTGTAGCTAGTTCCCCAGTCATGCAGCCACTGCACTCCTGTGGCCTCCTGGCAGCCCTGTGAGAAAATGAGCCTCCCAAGAGGTGCCTGGGTAGATCAGTAGGTTAAGCAGCTGACTTGGGCTCAGGTCATGATCTCACGGTTTGTGGGTTTGAGCCCCACATCAGGCTCTGTGCTGACAGCTTAGAGCCTGGAGCCTGCTTCAGATTCAGTGTCTCCCTCCCTCTCTGCCTCTCTCCCACTTGCACTCTCTCTCAAATGTAAATAAGAACATTAAAAATAATAATAAACCAAAAATGGACAGACTTCCTGTGCTAGCTGTCACTTTGTCATCCTGAGACTATTGATCTCTGGGATCAGCCACTTCCTCTCAAATACTTTCCAAACCGCAGAGGCTGTATTTACTTGAATTTAGTTATCTTTAGAGTCCTTTCACTGATCTTGAGTTCTGGGAAGGAGGTCCAGGGGGTGGTATTTCCATTTTACAGAAAAGGAAACAGAGACGTTATATGATAAGCTAGTTGCCAGATGGGAACCATAACTTGGTTCTCCTTGCTTTTGAACTGAGAGCTTGACGGTGCTTGGTGACACACTGAGAGGCCACTCCTGTGCTAACGGCCCAGTCTACTGGGAGGGGTTCCCTGTGAGTCCTAGGTCCCCCTCACTGGGCATGCTCCCACTGCTGCCTATTAGTGAAGACAGTTCTTGGATTCAGGTGGGCCAGTGAGCCTTAGTGATGACACTTTTTTAAAGTGATGACACTTTTTGAGTTCATGGATCAAGCTAGATAAACGAACCACAAAAGCCCTTTTTGGGAGGAAGGAGTGGAAGAAAGAGATGGAGATGAGGAAAATGAACCAGCTCAGATGAGGAAAGTGAGCCTAGGGCCTCAGCTCTGAGAAAACTCCACGTGTGGTAGGGGAGAAAAAACAAACAACACGAGGTTAAAGCGCAACACAGGCCTTCGTTGGTTAATAAAATGGGATGGGAGGCTAGAGCAGGGAATGACATCTGGGGCAGGAAACAGGAAGTCTGTGAAGTCAGTGGCAGCTGAATTGCTGATAATGTGTCGGATGACCTATCAAGAGGTCCCTGTGTACATTATGCCTGTTGACCCTTTTTTTCCCTACGTCTTGTTTGTTGGTTTTTTGAGGTATAATTAACATACTATATTAGTTTTTAGGGTACAACATTGATTCATCAATTCTATGCATTACTTGGTGCTCATCACGGTAAGCGTAGTCACCATCTGTCACGAAACGATCATTACCGTGTTACTGACTATATTCCCTATTTTCATCTCAACAACTTACTTTATAACTAGAAGTTTGTACCTCTTAATCCTCTTCTTCTATGTCACCCGTCCCCCTACCCATCCCTCCTCTGGTGACCATCCGTTTGTTCTCTGTATTTAAGAGTCTGTTTTTCAGTTTTTCTTTGTTCATTCATCTTGTTTCTTTAATTCCACATGTACGTGAAATCATATGGCATTTGTCTTTTTCTGTCTGACTTATTTCACTTAGCATATACTCTCTAGGTTCATCCCTGTTGTTGCAAATGGCCAGATCTCATTCTTTTTTATGGCTGAGTAATATTCCATTATATAGGTACTACATCTTCTTTATCCATTCATCCATTGATGGACATTTAGGTTACTTCTGTATCTTGGCTCTTGTAAATAATGATGCAGCAAACAGAAGGCTGCATAGATCTTTCAAATTAATGTTTTTGTTATCTTTGGGGTAAATACCCAGAAGTAAAATTACTGGATCATATGATAATTCTATTTTAAATTTTTTTGAGGAACCTCCATACCGTTCTCCACAGTGGCTGCACCACTTTGCATTCCCACCAACAGTACAGAAGGGTTCCTTTTTCTCCACACCCTCCCCAACACTTGTCGTTTCTTGTTTTTGATTCTAGCCATGCTGACAGTTAGTTGTAAAGTGAGATTTCATTGTGGTCTCATTATTCAGATCTTTTGCCCATATTTAATAGGATTATTTGTGTTCTGGGGTTTGAGTTGCTTCTTGACTCATTTAATCCTTACAACTCTGTGAGGATTTTGACACATGAGGACATTAAAGTAGAGAGAGGTAAAGCAGCCTCCCCGATGTCACTCAACCACTAAGTGGCAGAGTGTGTACTCTTCTTAACCGCTGCACTGGGGTCTCTTAAGGCTAGTGAGACCCAGAGGTGCAGAGATATGGGGAAGGGAATTCCGTGAACAGTGCAGGTCTTGGCCTAGGATTACTGCCTGCAAACGTCCCATTCCTCACTCTTAGCCAGGTGAGCTTCCTTCGTGAGCTTTGCCGGGCCCTTTGAAGAGCTGTGGTGCTGGAGGACTTCCATGGGGGTCCCAGGGGGGTGGGCTCCAAGGCTGGCCATGGACCTCAGTGATGTCACCACTTCTGTCTTTACTCCATTATCAGGACGTGTTGTATGTTTCTGTTGAAAGGTAGCAGCAGACCGATCCTCTGCAATTTTTCCAGTTCTTCGTGGCATGGAGTGTGATAAACTCTAATCTAAAAGATATTTAAAGCAGTAAAGCAGAGGACTTTTTTTTTTTTCACACTAAAGACTATAGTAGTGAGATGTGGAAAGTACTATAAATGTCAAGAATTTTTAGTACTGTAGTTAAGCGACACTCTGAGAAGTGTTGAAAAATGGCACTGAATTCTAAAAAGCAGCCAAAATAATGAAGAACTTGAATATAATGATTTATAAAGAGTAGTGAGCCTATTTGAGTAGGGGCAGACGGAGGCATAAATAATTCCTATAAATATATGAAGGCTGGAGATATTTAAGAATTAAGTAGTCAGGAAAGTTGAACCATTTTAATTGGTAAAACTGATTTGATGTGGGAATGCAAAATCATTTGAATACGTTCAAGCTTGGGTTCATCTCATCCTGGACCTGTGTTACTGAAACTGAGATTGAAACCCCTGGAGACGCCTCTTAAATAGAGGCTTCGAAGCCACCTGCTGCCACTATGGATGCCCATGGATATGGGAAGTTCCCAGTCTGGTGGGTCTTACTAGCACCCAGCTTCCTCTCCATTATTTCCAACCTTTAAAAGGCTTCTTCCATTCTGTTCTCCAAAAAAGACCAGAGGTCCCAGCCAGGAGCCCGGGGTCCTCAGGGAGCCCTCGAGGCCGGAGCTGCAGAGAGCTTAGAGTGGCTTGTTTAGCCCAGTCTGCCTTCTGCAGCCCCACTTTAATTGGTACATAAGGTAGGGTGGTGCGGCCAACACCGAGAGGGCAGGTGGAGCCTCTGGATGCCCCCAAATAACAGGTGGTGAGCTGAGTCTTCACCTGGTAGATGCCGTGGCAGGAGACACCTTTTTCATTTTTTCCCCTGCATTGTGTCCTGGGCACGGAGGGTTGCCACAGTTGCTGCATGAAGTTCCTTACACGGGACTTGGAATAAAACTGTCACCATCGCATAACTTGTGTTGGAGGTTATCTGGGGGGTAAGCGTGTGTGCCACGGGGCGAGGGGAGAAGGTAATGTGTTCAAGGGCTGTGTCTTCAGACATCAGTTCTAAGAACTGAACCCATGACTAGACAGTCCACCAGCCCCCTCTCCTCACACATACTTAAGAGGGTGGACACAAAGGCCTGTGGAGGGTCACCCTGACAGTTTTCTGTCTGCTTTCAGATCCCATTCAGGATGCTTCCAGGACAGGACTTGGCAAGAACCTTTTGGATGGTCCCCCACGAGTGCTTCAGCCCTTCCTGACAAACAGAGCCAAGGTGGCTGGGGTGCCCCCAAGCCTGCCCCTGCCGGTGAGGAACACCATGCTGGCCGCTGCCCTCTTCCCCGAGTTCCTGAAGGAACTGGCTGCCTTGGCGCAGGAACACTCCATTCTGTGCTACAAGATCCTGGGTGACCTTGAGGACTCCTGTTGTTAGTTTTTTTTTTTTTTAATAGAGGTTCTTGTTTTTAAGGTTAAGCGTCTTGACTGAATGTTAAATGCAAAGCTGCTTACAAAAATTTCTACTTTGATATTTCCTGACAATACTTGATTTGTGGGGAGGGGAATTTTCTGTGTATCTCCTCTCTCTCTAGCCAGTCTTTCCACCTCCTATAGAATGTAAGTCTCATAAACTGGTGGCTCCTTTGGCAGGTTTTCTTTTCTTTTTTCCTCCTCGATTTTTTGGTTGTTAATTCTCCCATCCCTTTGAGTCACTCATCTTGCAGCTTAGAGCTTAGATCACACCAAGCAAATACTGGGGTTCCGTGATTTCTGGAGGTACCCCGGGTCAGAAGGCTCAGCTCTTCAAATAGCTCATGAGGAATGAACATCCGCTTCTGTTGCCTTCTGCATTTCGGTTTCCGTTTTACAAAAGGGAAGAATAAAGACGGAGCCCCGCTTTCCTCCATCACGCAAGCACGTATCATGTGTCCCTTTGCATTTTACTTCCAAGATTTGCACTCTGCCCAACATGTGTTGCCTTATGTTGCACGCAAATCCATTGGTCTCAACTGTGTGGATAATTTGGAGTGCAGGGAAATTTTCTTGTTGCTTGAGAGCTTTCTTTAATCAGTATGTCATTTCCTAAACACTGGAAATAGTCTTATTTTAGTAAGATTTGCACAAAATGAAATCTATGTAGGCAAACCATTACATTGGTTTTTGGAAATTTGAGCTGATGAAAGTGGAGTATCATATATTTGGGTATCATTATTTTGTAAGTGTTTGAAAGATTAATTTGTGAAGCTATTTCACAGTGGGTTTTTGGGGGGTAGGGAGGAATATGGGGCAGGGGAAAGGATAAAGGTAAACTTAAAAATGCAATCTGTAAAAACATTGGCAATTATTTTAGATCCTGTTTGCTTTTTCTAATATGTTGCACTTTGTAGAGAAACAGGCACTGTATGCTTTGGGACCTCGAATGTAAATGCAAACAGGTCACAGGGAGCCCTGCAAAGCCAAGTGCCTCCTGGTGACTCACCGCACACAGAAATGCTGCCTTCTGAGTAATGGGGTTCATTAGAAGGCCCCCATGTGATGTATTAGTGCCTCTGTGCTGCTCTGCAGCCTGCTGCAGGAGGCGTAATTATACTTAGTGCTAGTCTCCTTAAGCCACTAAAGAGGGGGAAACACACAAAATAATTGTGTGCTAAAAACGAGACCAGGAGCAGCTTATATTGGTGGATATTCAATTTCGCTACCTTCTATTTTGGGCAGGGGAGAAGCACATAACAACGGTGGGCCTCCCTGTTTGGAGGGAAACTAGAAGTCCTAGTTCTCCTGCTGAGCCCTGGGGGCAGCCACAGGTCTGGCAGTTGTGCCTCAGGACTGGTAGGATTTTAATCAATCGGGCCCGTAGCAGAGGAGGGCAGTGGCGGAAAGAATCACATCTGAGACCTCGCAGAGCAGAGGCTGCCTTTCGGTGTTTCACGGATCTTGAAGCAGCTTTGTGTTGAGACGGAGCCAGTCTGTGGAACGTGGATGCCAGGAGACCTGGCCTGAGCAAGGAGGCTCTCAGCGGCCAGCCTCACAGTGCTTGAGTCTAAGAAAGAAACCAAAGATACTGACCAGTTGTATGTTTCTGTCTTCACATTCATCTGTCTTGAAAAATGGTCTGCCCAGCTGTGGTACAGCCGCGGAATGTATGAGGCCCAGTGGACTGGCCTGGCTTCCTGGCACACTGTTGTATTTGCAAACCCCCAGGTCTCCACTGGAAAAGGTGGCTTAATGTGGATTAAGAAAGAGGAACAGGAAGATGGAATGTAAGCTATAATTTATTATCCTCTAGCTTCGTTTTGGACAAGTATTTATCTCCCAGTTTGGACTTAACAGGTGCAGAAAAGGCTCAAGTCATACCTGGAAAGTATTCTTTGGCCTTTTGGTTTGACTTGCACATCTCTCCATTATCTGGTGATGGTGTTGATTCTTCAGTCCATATTGCTTTATTATAGAACACTGTAGTCCCCTGTGTAGAGGGTGCCCTTTTAGGAAAGAGATTGCTTTTGTGCCTCTTAGCATTTTTAAAAATAGGTACTGAATTAGACTTACCTTAAGGGAGGACGGAGATGACCAGTGTTGGGTGAGAGGCAGGAAAGTTAACTCCCGTGGTGGGGTGCTGGTAGCAAACTCACACGATAACCCTATTTGGAATTGGAAACTGGTTCATCTTTCCGCATCTGTTATAGGCCTCCTCTAGAGTATTGTGTTCAGGGGTTTTCAAAATGAAGTTAGAAATCTGACCTTGAAATGCATTATAGAGAACTGGAAAATTCACGCAGTTGAGTGAAACAGCCAGGTAGGTTAGGTAAGGATGGTTCAGGGAATAGTGTGGACATAACAGAGGAGAAACAGCAGAGACCAGAGGCTATAAATAAGAGGAGAGCAAATCTGGAGGGGTTTGGAGGAATGAACTTTGATCTAGGCAGAGAGGAAGGTACTGTACCACAGGTGGGTGACGATGGGAATTACTTGATGGGAAAAAATCATGGTAATAAAGCAGAGTATTCCAATGACAAAGTAACAGGTGAGGCCTGTAGAAATTTGTTTTCTGTAGTGTGGGAAAAATTTGTAAAGATATTTGGTGGACTTTAAAATGTGGTCCAAGAGTGTGGGCCCTTCTCCATAGGACAAGCTCTCACTCAGATGCTATGCTACTCGCTGGAAGGCACAGTGGGCGCACCTGCTCTGCTGCGGGCCTGAGACTGGAGTCCCTGTGTCTAGCCTGATGGTCCTGGGCAGTGAAAGCAACTTGAGGGTTCCTGGAACATCACACAGGTATCTCCATTCATAATGCAGGTCTGAGGTAAAGTTCCAGACAGAGTGAATTCTGTGATTCAAAGTTTAGGCGATTACTGGGATATTTAAAATCGATTTTTAGAAATGGCCAAGTAAATTTTAAAAGTTATAAACAAAGAAATTCCAGGTGAATTTAGACTAATGTATGGCTTTTTGGGTATAAATTACAATTTCCCATCCATGAAAGGGTGGTGCTGGAGTAACCAATTAAAGAGATGTGATTTCATCAGTAGGTAACTTCCTTTCCTCAGTATTTAAAGGAATTATAGAACTCCCCCCCCACCCCTTTACCCAGTACTGGCTCGGAAAATATTTTGATGTATTGATGGCTTCGAACTGAGGTCTCTGTCATGTGTAGGGAGGATGCATTCAGTTCTTTTTTCGGTCCTCAGGAGTACCTTTTGCTCAGCAAGTGGCTTTGATTTAGGTCATATGTAGTTGTTGGTTTTCAGTCCATTAAGACATCATGGAACTATGGAATTGTGGGGAGAGCATCCTCTTATGAATAGAACCCAGAAACAGGATACAACAATATTTGGTTTGCCTGTTCGGTTTGGGCAGCCAGTGGTACTCAGGATTGAAAATTGTGTTTGATGTCTCTTGAGTCAGCTGGGTTGCCATGGTCATGTGGGTTGACTTCCAGCTCTGATGGGAGGTTCTGGGCCATGGAAGTGTTGCTCATTCTGAATTGGGATCGGTGTCTAGGTTGCATTCATGAGGGAAGTGCTGCCCTGGCCGGGGTGGGCCGTGTCATTGGTGTGAGGTTCAATATGTGCAGCATAAACTATAGCTCTCATTTAAGGGCAGTTCAGTTTAATTGCTCATTACCAGTCCTGTATTTACCGAAATGGCTGTCAAGCTTGCCGTTTTTATGAAACAGTTTACTGCAGGACAGCTATTACTGCACGTGCTACTTCAAGCCCCTGGCCCAGGCCAGTGTAATTTGTGGCTTGCCGCGAATCCCAGCCAGCTCTGCAGTGTTGGCTTTTCCTGGAAACTGTGGTCCTCTGGTGGCGGAGGCCACACCAGCTTGAAGTCATTAAGAAGATATTCTCAGGCCCCTTCTCGGCTTCAGTCTTCGTTCTATAAATCATATGGCACTAATTCTCCATCAAATCACAGCTTTTAAACAGAACACTGTCAAACCAGTTTATACTCTACCCTTAAATCACATCACTGAGGAGACATTTTAAGAAAATGGAGTTGCTTTTTTTTTTTCTTTCCGAATGACCATTGTAAACCTAATGCTATAGAAAGAGCCCTCGGAAGGCTAAGACTTGTTTTTGGGATAAGTTTGCCTCCGTAAATCCTCAGCGCATTCAGGAATTTATTAGGCCATTACCTGTTTTGGAGGCCAGATTATCCTGGCGGCTCATTAACTGGATAAACAGGGCTTTCGTGAATGATTTTTGGTGAGGTTCTATGGGGAAGAGGACAGGGACAAGGTGGGGCAGAGTCTTCAGTTCTTTGGCATCTGCACTTTGGATCTGAAGACAGATGATGATTTTTGCTAGGACTGACCCTTCCCATCCCATTGGGTCATTGTGAATTTTGTTCCTGTCTTACGACATGTAAGTAAGCCTAACTCACTGTCGGCCACACAAGTTACAAGACTGCCAGTAGGCTCTGTCAGTATGCATTTGGTATGTATTTCAGGCATTTTTTGGGGAGCTTAGATTTACTATGTCATTTCAGAACCTGACAAGGGTGATGGAAGCTCTCAGGCCAGATTATAAATTTCATGGAGCTGAGCCTGCAGAAGTCTGTGCTTCTGAGTGTGTCTGCTGACTTTTTACTGGGACGAGTCTGCAAAAGGCCTGTAACAAGGCCCCTTCTTGCCCTGGAGCTATTTTAAGAGGGAATCTGGTGCTGATCTTAAATGATTTTTGCTAAATTACTTGACAAAGGGAGGCAATGAGAGAGGATTTCATGTAGAATCCTTGAGATGATGCAGCAAATTCAGTAGAAATGAAAAACAATATGAATTGTGGGTCATTCCCTTAAGCTGTGTATTGAATTAACTAATTCAAAGTACTTTCAAAAATTTCATAGCCTTCTTGCAGATGAGCAATGATTACAAAAGAGGTGTGTGTATGTGTGTACAAGCTCAGCTAAAACATGCTAACCTTGGAATAATGATTAGTTTTTTTTTTGTTTTTTGTTTTTTTCCTGGAGCATATATACTCTGAGAGATCAGAACAGACGTTCACCTCGGTGCATACGCCTGGGCAGAGTGAAGAAGCTCCTTCCTAGACTCACATGTCCAGAATTCAAAAGCCTACTGGTTGGCAGCACCAGCCTCTCGTACCAAAAGGCCCCACAAAAGTCTCTCCGCTAATTTGGTTTTATAAACTTAATGTTCACTGAAGTTATTCTGTGCCAGGTACCACGCTAAGTGTTGAGGCTGACCTTCCTAACTTTCTACCAGAACCAGCCAACCAACCAACTTCCTTGTCAACCAACAGATTGTATGGTTTGGTAGGGTTGGTTCACGCTGTCCTGGGGATGAGCCGGTTTTCCAGCACATTCCCCTCCCAGCCTACAGGTGTGTGGGTTCCAGTGACAGATGGCAATGGCTTCACATGGCACCAACTCATACATCTTCAGTGGAACAGC